CTACTTGAGGACTCTGGTTCCATTCCTTTCTGACTTCTGCCTTGTCCCACCCACAGTCCCCTACAGAGAGTTGTGATGTCCTAGGTGACATCCAGACCTGCATCAAGAAAAGTATGGAGCAGAATCCCCGTCGATCACGCTCTAAGGCCAAAGGTGTGTCATTGTCCTGGGGCAGGCTGGGCAGCCAGGCTACCTGTGTCCTGCTCGGCCTAAATCTGCTTTCCCACTTGTAGCCTCCCAGGAACCAGTGTGGGTGGAGGTGATGGTAGAGATCTTGCTGTCCCTGCTGGCTCAACCCAGCAACTTGATGCGCCAGGTGGTCCGGAACGTGTTTGGCCATATCTGTTCCCACCTTACTCCACGTGGTCTGCAGCTAATCCTGGCTGTGAGTTGGGGCCTCTGGGGAAATAAGATTGTAAGATGGGTCCACTGAGATGTAGTGGGAGTATGTGTTATCGTCCCATCTTCTGTTTTCCCCCTGGGGTGATGGGGCCTTTGGCCAAGATAGAAGAGACTGCAGGAGAGAACTGGGGAAGGTGGGCAGTTGGGGCAGCAAGTGCAGTGGTGGTCTGGGACTTCTCCTCAGGTGCTCAACCCCGAGACCAATGAGGATGAGGATGACAATGTGGTGGTCACCGATGATACCGATGAGAAGCAGCTGAAGGATGGAGAGGTACTTATCAGTGAGGTGCAAGGTAGGATGGGTGGCTGGAGATAAGTCACTGGCGTCATTGAGAAGGTGTGACTTACCTGCTTCCCACCCATAGGATGAAGACTTAGATAGTGAAGACAATAAGAACTCAGAGAGTGACGTGGATAGCGAGGATGGGGAAGAGAGTGAAGAGGAGGATCGTGATAAGGATGTGGATCCGGGCTTTCGGCAGCAGCTGATGGAAGTGTTGCAAGCTGGAAATGCACTGGTGAGCAGGAGCCAGGGGAGAGGGCGTTTGTCCACCTACCTAAGGCCAGGCTGATGGCTGTGCTTCTCTACCTCAGGGTGGAGTGGACAGTGAGGAGGAGGAGGAGGAGCTTGGGGATGAGGCTATGATGGCCCTGGACCAGAACCTGGCCAGCCTATTTGCAGAGCAGAAGCTGCGCATCCAGGCCCGGAAAGAGGAGAAGAACAAGCTGCAGAAGGAGAAGAAGCTCCGACGGGACTTCCAGATCCGGGTGAGTGCAGCAGGTGCTGCTCCTGCGCCTCCCCTGTGCTCCTGCATGGGCTGACTCCCAGGCATCTGGCCACAGGTACTGGACCTGATTGAAGTCCTGGTGACCAAGCAGCCTGAGCACCCCCTGATCCTGGAACTACTTGAGCCGTTGCTGAGCATGATCCAGCACAGCATGCGCAGCAAGGGCTCCACCAAGCAGGAGCAGGACCTCCTGCACAAGACTGCCCGCATCTTCATGTGAGTGCACGTGCCCGTGGGTGACACACAGTCCCTGAGCATGCTTTGTGCTCCCTGTGCCTCGAGCAGGGTTCCTGACACTCTGGTCCCATCCAGCCGTCAGTGTTACAGTAGTTGGGAGTTCTGATAAGAGGGCAGGGCTGTCTCCCACACAACAACACTATGCCAGTCCAGATCACGCTACCTGTTCAGACTGGTTTGTCCTTGGCCCTGCCTGTCCATATATCCCTGAGCACATAGAACTTGCTTTACAGAGTCTGAGGCCACTGTCCCACCAAACAGATACAGAGAGAGAGGTGGGTCAGGTCAGAGGTGTTCAGCTCCTGGGCCAAGTCCCTGTCCATCTCTAAGTCAGTTTTCTAACCTATGCAGTGGTACTTAGAGCTGCTTCTCTTGCTGTGCATGGCAGAGCAAGGTGGAGAGCACCCTCTGACCAGCTTGCCCCGCCCACCCGCCCGCTCACAGGCATCATCTGTGCCGAGCCCGCCACTACTGCCACGAGGTGGGGCCCTGTGCAGAGGCTCTGCATGCCCAAGTGGAGCGGCTTGTGCAGCAGGCTGGCAGCCAGGCTGACGCCTCCGTAGCCCTCTACTACTTCAACGCCTCTCTGTACCTGCTGCGGGTCCTCAAGGGCAACGCTGCCAGGAGGCCCCAGGACGGTCGGAAGCTACGGGGAGCTGACACCCAGTCTGAACCCAAGGACCCGGAGGTGAGCCAGAGGCCAGCCCTGGCAGTTCTTCTCAGACTCACCCTCAGCCTTCTGTGCCTTGCTCCCGTCTCACCCCAGCTCTCTCACCAGGCCCAGGCTGCCAATTGTTTGGACTTGGACTTTGTGACCCGGGTGTACTCAACAGCGCTGGAATCTCTTCTGACCAAGCGTAACAGCCCACTCACTGTCCCCATGTTCCTCAGCCTCTTCTCCCGATATCCGGTAAGTGCGGGAGCCAGCCTGCCTCTTGGGAACCCTGCCTGGCCCAGTCCCCCCCCTAACTAATGGTCCCTGTCCTTCCCTAATCCCTAGGTGATCTGTAAGAACTTACTCCCCATCCTGGTCCAGCATGTGGCTGGCCCGTCGCGGCCCCGCCATCAGGTAAGGTCTGTCTAGATGATGACCTGTGCAGCCTTCTCACCGAGGCCTAAGAGACCCGCTTCACTGACCTTGGCTGTGCATGGTGCAGCACATTGTCGGCACAGAGGAACTTGGGGAACCTTACTGTCTAGCTCAAGGCCTCCAGCACTGCTAGATTTCATCTCTGGCCTGACCTGCACAAGAGGGCACCCTTTGTCTGCTTAGATGCCAGGGCTATCAGGCAGGCTAGAGAGAGACTTAAGTCAGTAAGGGCCAGGGGCTGTCCCAGCATGAGGTCTATTCAGGTGGGACCATTGCCTCTTGAGATCTCAGCAGCCCTTTAGCCACATGAGAAGAGAGGAACTGATGGCTGTAAGGCCCAGCACGGGCAGGAGCCCAAGCTTGTGGTTTCTGAGCCTTCACCTGGCATGCTGGGGCTTCTGCTGACTACATTCTCCTTGGTGCAGGCCCAGGCGTGCCTGCTGCTCCAGAAGACCCTGTCTGCACGGGAGCTGAGAGTATGTTTTGAGGATCCTGAGTGGGAGCAGCTGATTGGCCAGGTCTTGGCAAAGGTTGCCCAGGTAACAGCTGTGAAGCTCCCACCATGAACTCACCCCAGGTTTCTTGGAACTTGAGGTTCCAGAGTGGGTTGTGCAAACTAGCTAGTCCCCAGAAACATTTCCTCCCTCTGGGCCACTGCTATGAGGGATGTGGAAAGGCCTTCGGCAGTTCTCAGAAGTGCCTCAGTGTTGGCCTTCCTCCATAGACCCTGCAGACACTTGGAGAGGCGCAGAGCAAGGGGGAGCACCAGAGGGAGCTGTCCACCTTGGAGCTGCTGAACACTCTCTTCAGGACAGTCAATCATGAGGTAAGGCAGCCGCCCAAGAATCAGTGCCCCAGATGGAATAGACATCACATCAGGGTTCTGACAGTCGTCTTTCCAGGGGGCAGAATCTGGGCTTTTAAAAGATTGCAGTGCTGCTGTGTTGATAGAAGTGATTACTTCTAAAGGTAGAAGGTCACATCTGGACCTGGCAGACTGGGGTGAGGCTGGCTCACCATGTATCAGAAAACTGAAAAGTGAGAAGAGCTAGAGATGAGCCCAGATGGGCAGCAGTTTGGAAGGAAGCCAGGTTTCTAGGCAGGAAGGGGGAGTGGTAAGGTGAGGCCAGTGAGGGGTAAGAGTTACTCATGGGCTCCAGGAGGCCACTGGAAATGGGCTGCTGGGTTCTCTAGTCTGGAACCACCTTTATAGGGGACTAGGAGCTGAAAAAGCGGGGACTTGGGCCCCTGGCTTTGGAAAGGGAAACAGAATGCTAGGTCGGGGCCTTGTGTCCTCCATGGTAGAGAGGCTAATGATTTAAGACAGAAGTGGTTTAGGACCCAGGTGCAGGTAGAAGACCCACTGCTACTCCAGCCTGCCTTCCCTCTGCAGAAGCTGTCTGTGGACCTCACCTCTCTCTTGGGCTTGCTGCAGAGCAAGCAGCAGAAGCTACAGCAAAGCCTACAGCAGGGGAACCACTCCTCTGGCTCCAACCGCCTCTACGACCTCTACTGGCAGGCTATGAAGATGCTAGGAGTCCAGTATGTTCTGGGAGAGGGCCCCACACCCTGGGAATGGGGCTAAAAAGGCCCTCCCAACAATAATTGCACTCTCACTTCACTCTTTATTTTACTGCTTCCTTACAGGCGTCCCAAGTCAGAAAAGAAGAATGCCAAGGCCGTTCCTAGCGAGTCCCAGAGCCCCATTAGCATGAAGCGGAAGAAGAAGGGATTCTTGCCTGAGACCAAGAAGCGAAAGAAACTTAAGTCTGAGGATACCACACCAGGAAAGGATGCTGCATCAGGGCAGGATGTAGTGACAGCGGATGCTACACCTGCTGCTACTGGTAAAGACCAGCCCCCCAGCACAGGCAAGAGGAAGAGGAGGAGGGTGAAGGCCAACACCCCATCCCAGGTGAATGGGACACCTGTCACCAAGAGTCCAACTCCCAACAACCTCACCCTAAGTCCTAGCACCCCTGCTAAGACCCCAAAACTACAGAAGAAAAAAGAGAAGCTATCACAGGTGAATGGAACCACTCCTGTGTCCCCCATAGAGCCTGAAGGCAAAAAGCATCACCAGAAGGCTGTTCCCACAAAGGAGGTCTTGAGAAAGTCCCCCCAGTCGGCCCTGCCACGCAAGAGGGCAAGGCTGTCTCTAGTTAGCAGGAGCCCTAGCCTCTTGCAGAGTGGGCTCAAAAAAAGGAAAGTGGCCCGGAGAAAAGTGCAGACGCCTTGAGTGAGGTGTAGTCTTCCCTGCCTTCAGCAGCCCAAGAGACTCCTATTTTTTCACCAATATTTTAATAAATATTGCCATGGTATATGACACCAGTCTCTGGCTTTGGGCAGTGAGTGGGTCTGTTACCAACCTTCCAGGGGCAGGGTCCATCTACTGCAGGCCTGGCCCTAGCTGTGTGGCCAAGGTTCCCAGCTTAGATACTCAGTCCTGTCCCTTCCCAGGCTGTTCCAATGGAGAGCCACAAAACATTTAAATAGGTTTATTTCTTCATTTACAAGAGGAATATATATTTGGCTTCTCTCTTAAGACTCTGAGATTCACAATCAGCAGCTCTAAAAAATAAAGGAGCGGTTCAGCTTCCGGAAGGAAGAGGAGGCAACACTTGGACCTGGTTCTTGTACAACAAGAAAACATTGCTGGAGCCCCTGCTGGGGTTAGGGTGGGAGCAAGGCTGGTCGTAAGGGATAGCACCCTCCGCCCACCCACATCCAAACCCCCAGGGTGCCCCAGAGCTTGGGTGGGATGGGTACCACTAACTAACACCACTGAAGCCACAGCCAGCAAGTGGAAGACAGCCACAGGGGACTGTTGTCCAAGCCGGTTCTGGAAGTTTCCTGTAGGTTACAACAGTACCCCAGGACCAGAGCCACCTTGGTCACAACGTGCAAAGAGTATGAAGCTGGGGATAAGTGTCCAGAGGTGACTAAGGTGGCTGCAGGGGAGTGAGGGGCTGGGGGGTGGGTCAGGGGAGTAGGGTGATCAAAGGCTGAGGTGAAAGCCTGGCCCCCCCCAAGAGTCAATTGGGGTATGATACCTACAGGCACTGGTGGGAAATCTCCAGCAGTTCCATACCCTAAGCCAAGAAGCAGTGTGGACTGCTAGGTACAGCTTTCAGCAGCCAAATCTGAATCTGACTCCTCATTGAAGAGGTCATCCTGTAGGGGGGAGTGGCTTCTGGGGCACAGCAGGAGTTGGGGGGTGGGGTGAGGAAGTGGGTTCTCAAGGTCTCAGCCCCTGGTGCAGGTGCTGCCAGGGTGCACACCCCCAGTGCTGCAGTCCTCTAAGGGGTGGTCCCACCTGGGAACAACCTCCGGGCAAAGAACCAGCTGAAGACAGCAGAGACAGTGTCCTCCAGGGTGACTGGCCCAACAGCAGGTACCCAGCTCCACGGGTCAGGCTGAATTTGACGGCCCCAAGGTTAGAGCCTAGGAATGGGGAAGTGGTCCCTGTACACCAGAACTTTTGGGGGACCTCAGAACCAGAACTGAGGTCCTGAGACTTGGGTCATGTCTTCTGTGTACAGCCTAGGACTTGTTTCTTCAAAGCTGTGAAGGGCGCCTTGGAAGGCACGCAATGGAGGAAGCTCCAGCTCCTTGGCCCCATTGTCTAGGGAGGATAGGGGCTCCCTCAAGATCACATGAGCTAAGGGCCGGCCAGGCTTCCCCCAAATGCCCACTGCAGGCTGACTTCTCTTTTGTCCCTGCGTCCCCCAACCAGGGCTGGAATTGTGTCCACCTGAGTGGCTCCAGCACACACAGTCCTCCATGTTAACTGAGGATGCAGCTTCTTGGAGATAGGGCCACTCAGTCCTGGGCCAAAGAGGGTGTGTACCCAGCTGTGAGTCACACGGGAAGCTTTGGGACGGTCCTGCAGGTCCAGGATGCTGGAGGACCTCTCCCAATCTAAATTGCAGATCATTGCTGTCCCAGCTGCACCTGTGGGAGGGGGTCAGGTCAGAGGTGGAGCTTTGGGAATTGTTCCAAAGCTGGCTTCCTTAGCTTTCACCACTACTGTGGTTCTGAGGCCTGTGACCCTGGGTTTACGGGAAGCTTTAGCCTCCAAGGGCTAGGCCACCGGGAGGGCCAGGGTGGGAGGTGCACCCTGTCACATCCAGGAGGATTTAGGAGGACAGCAGGGTTTCTGGCAAGTTGCAGGGCTGACCTATGCTCCCAGCCCTTCTAGGGAAGGGAGGGGACTGATTTACTGGAAGAAGCCAGCTCCCACAAATCCACAGATTCCGTATCAACACATCAGAAGGAAGAGGGCAGACCTAGGGCAATGGGGAATCTGCTCAGGAAGGAGACCGTTCTGAAGGGGTTTTGTTCCCTGTTCCTTCAGGGCCACTCCTCCCACAGGGGCTTCCTGGCCTGCACTCACCACCTCAGACTTTCACGGATGCAGGCGGCATCACCAGCTGGTTCACCCTGAGGGAGAGACGGGCGGGGGTCAGGGTGGCACATCAGCGGGGACTGGGCCCAGGCACGGCTCTGGCACATCGCATCACTGGGGCCGGTAGACCGGAGGCGCTGGGCAGGGACCTCGTCAGCCCCAGGGGGAGGTGGGAAAGCCCAGGGGTAGGGAGAGGAGACAGAAAGGAATAGAGAAAAGAGGAGAAAGAAGTCAGAAAACGAGAGGAGGAGAAGGGGACGGGACTCCCAGCTCTAAAACCCTGTTAACTCCAGAGAAAAACCCATGTCTAGAGCTCCCACAAAAAAGGGCTACCATGGCCTCGGCCCATGATATGCTGGCTGGGGGCATGAGAAGACTCCGAGCCAAGTGTTAATAGAGCTGGCCCTGGCCTCCAGCAGGTCACCTAGCCCTAAGGCCACAAAGTAACCCAGTCTCCTCCACCCTGGTGGAACAGAGCTGTCACAGTCCCTGCTTCCTAGCGTGCCCACCCCACCCCTACTCACTGCTGTTCAGCCTTGGCACGGTCGCTGAGGAAGAAGAGAGCGGTGGCAAGGAAGAACATGCCACCCAGGACCACGACAAAAGGGCACAGCATGAGGGCATAGCCCAGGCTCAGAAACTCCCAGAGCGGGGAGTCCTTGGTGCTCTGGCGGATAAGGTCCGAGATCTGTGGGGATTGGGGTGCTGGTATCAGGACAGGGCTATCTTCTGTGCCCCACCCCCAGGCAAGCCCCACCCTCAGCCACTCACAAAGCCAATGAGGTAGGGGCTTCCAGCATCCCCCAGCAGATGGGAGGTGAAGCTCTGCAAGGCCACAGCCGTGGCTCGTCGGGTGGGGATGACCACATACTGCAGGAAGAAGGGAGGGTCAGTGCCAGAAGGGCCGGCCGAGGCTGTGTACTAGGCTCATCCCTGTGGCCAAGACACTTCTGAAACCCCACAGCCTCCGCTTCCTGTCCTGGGTACTGATAGTCCTGCCACCCAGCCCTGGACTTCCCTACCCCCCATGTAGGCATGGCTGCTTCTGTCAGCTCCACAGGGCCTCTTCTCTTCCCCATCTGCCCCTCCTATCTGGAGCCTTGAAGCACGCACACACGCACCGCTTCAGTCCCCATCACCCCAATGGTTCTGGCAGAACCCAGACTTAGTGATGGGAATCTGCACCTCCCTCCCCACTGCATTCCATGGAACAACAACTTCGGTACCAGTTGGCACAGGTCTTCCAAGGCCAGAGCTCTTGGAGCATGGAGGAGCTGAGCTAAAAGGTCCAGGGGCACTTTTTCTTTTCTTTCTTTCTTTTTTAAAGATAGAGCCTTGCTGCTTAACCCAGGCTGACCTCACCTTGCTATGCTCCTGGAGAGAACCCTCACTTCTGAGGGATCACGTGTGGAGTTGTGCAACTCTGGACGTAGGATTCTAGCCTCTAGGCTTCCTGCCCTCCCTTTCTGTAAGTTAAACACCTGTCTTGCTCCCCTTCCATGACGATTTAGCAAGGCTGAGGCTGGCTGAGGTGGAGAGGCTATGAACTAGCATCCTACCCCAAAGAGCCTCTACTTGAACTCAAGTACCCTGACACCAGAGTCTAAGAGCCACTGGGCCCCAGGTCGTCCTGAACTAGACAGAACAGGCCCTGGCCCCACTTGAAGACAGATGGGCAAGACTAGGACAACCAGAACCAGGTGGCCCCTGCCCTGAGCTCCAGCTCCTCACGCTGTCCATGACACCTGTCATTGTGGGCAGTGGGAGCAGCCAGCATCCTCAAAGTACCCTGCTGGTGGTGAGGAGACAGGGAGGGATCTGGATCGGAGCATATTGCGTGGCCCCATTTCCAGCACTAATTAGTCACTTAGCCGGGACACTTAGTAAAACTGGGACATGAGTTCCCTGGGACCCAGACAGCTCCCAGGGGCTGCTGGGGGTGGGGGCTGTCAGGGGAGGGCACGCTGCCCAACACCAAAGACCCTTGATTCAGTCTTGCCACGGTTACGTAGTCCCCGATCCCTGCCCTTGTTCTTGCCCAGCCCCTAGTTGAGGCACTTAGCTGAGTCCTCTCCACACTTCCACACAGCGCATGCATGGGTAGAGGACAGAGGCACTGGTGGGCGACACAGGTATTCGAGAAAGGCATAGGGTGGAGCAAGGCAGGCCTTCTGAAATGGAGGGACAACAGAGGCCCCCAGACTCTGGCCTCCTGGCCTAAGCACCAGCTCCCAAGCTAATAAATACCCAGTTTATTCCCCTGCCTTCCACCTCCTGCCATTCCATCTCCAGTCCTCTGCAGTCTTCTGACCCTGACCAGGAGGTCCCTCGAGGACCAAGCACAGGAGTCATAGCTCTGCCATTCCCACCCCCACTGCACTCAGAGCTACAAGTCACTAGGCCCACAGCCCCTCCCCTGTTCTCCTGTCCCCACCCAGGAACACAAGCCCAAGCAGACTGCTCAGACAGCCCTTTGTCCCTCGCCTGCTGGTCTGGAGGCCATTGTTGGTCCCGTAAAGACAGCCTCTGTCTGTCCAGCCAGCCGCAGGCACTCGGCAGGCATGCCTGGGACCCAGCCTGGGACCCAGCCTGAGCTGGCAAAGCCGCATGCAAGGACACTGGACTCCTGGGGGAGGAGTGCTGGCAGGCAGCACCACCTCAGTGCCAGCCTGGTACCACCAGCCTCCCAGCCACAAACCTGAAACTGGAGACAACCCTGCCCCTGCACCCCAACATCTGCCTGCTCTCTTAGCCACAAACCGGAAACCGGAGACAACCCTGCCCCTGTATCCCAACATCTACCTGCCCAACCCTGTTTCCAGACCCTTCCCAGATCTGACCCCCCTGTATCTCTGATCCCCTCCCTGCCTCTGGGTTCACCTCTCCCACCAACAAGCGATGCTTACCCTGCACCCACCCTCCCAAGTCACCCCAGTGAAATTCTTAAGCCTGGGTCAGTCAGCAGAAGGGGACTGTGGACTTCCTGGCTTACCATGAGGATGTCTGCAGTGATGGCCCAGTTAGAAAACAGCAGTGTCTCCCCAACAAAGATGCATATCTATTTATAAGGAGGAAAGCAACCATGAGGGGCACAAGGCAGGGACACACAACCCCCCGCCCCGCCCCGTGGGGATAGAGGGTCCCGCAAGTCAGACTGCAACTCCAGCCCATCTCCCCCAACCTCCCAAGGACTCACATAAGCGCCCACAATGCTGGTCTTGGCGGCCACAAAGATGAGGCAGATGAAGATGGCAGACCCCAGCATGCCCACCGCACACACCAGTGGGTCAGCCCGCTGAGTCCGCAGGCGGCACCAGCGAGTGGCTCCCGCACCTGTGACCACTCCCAGAAAGCCAGTAAAGCAGGTAATGGCCCCGAAGATGAGGCTGTGGGGACAAAGGACAGCAGAGTGTGATTTGAACAAGACAGTGGCTGGGACGGAGGCACCCAGTCCTTGGCGTCCAGGCTTTACCTGTCTTTGGCTCCGCAGGGCGGGCTGTTGCACGTCTCTGCGGTCTTTTGTACAACTTGAGCACGGTGCAGATAGAGGGGAATCCACATGCCCAGGGCCCCTGTGGCGAAGGACACGGCAGATGTGGCCAGGGAGGAAAAGACGTAACTGCGGCTGGGAAGAATCCAGGGAGGGACACTGAGTTGGCACAGCCCTCACAGCAGGGCCAGGGAGTCAGTCTATTCCCCCCCAGCCTGCTGTCCGCTGCCTCCCCCAGATAGAAATGCTCTTTCACAGGCCCCGATGAGGACTTGGGATGCAGGATCAATAAACTCTCAGGCCAGAATGCCATTCAGCCCCATAGGCTGTGGGGATGGCAGGTGAGTGTAGGCGGGCCACTTGGGGCCTCTAACCAGGCCTCCTCCTACCACACCCGGCACAGTAGCACTCACTTTCGGATCAGAGCCTTCATGTCTCGAAGCCATGAGGTCCGTGCTTTGAGCTGGCCCCCAAGCTGATCAGCATGGCCTCTCTTAGTGGCTGGGACCAGGATGAGGATGAGTGTTCCTGTGATCATGCCCAGGACAGGGGACACCTGGTAGGACAGGAAATGTGAAGTTTGAATGTCACATAGACTCTGTCTAGGCTGCACAGGAGAGCCCGGGTAACTGTTCCTTATCTGGACTCCAAGTCCTTCTTCTAGGCTAATATTTGCCCAGCTGAGTACCAGAGAGGCTGAGCAAAGCTGCTGAGGATGAGGCCAGGGAAGGGGCTGGGGGCCTCAAAGTGAATAGTCCAGACCAAAGGCCGGGCAGGAAAACAGGTTCAAGGAAGGCTGAGAGACTTCAGTGAGGGGGAGGGGGCAAGAAGTGGGGGGAAAGGAAGAGAGGAGGGGGAAGGAGGAAAGTGAGGGAGAGATGGCTCAACAGATGAAGGATAAACGGGAAAACAAGCAGATAGACAGATAGATGCACTCATGCATGGACGGATGGACAAGTAGGTGAATGGGTGGGTGGGTGGCTGAGTGGGTAGATGGATAATAAGAAAAGAAAGACAGGTAGATGAAAAGCATAGGGAGTGATGTCTTTGAGTAGAAGAGTTCATTTGTAGGGGTGGAGAGCCATATACCAACTTGTCTAACCCCTGGGGCTAGGAATGTTCCAAGGTGTGTCCCTCAAACATGGACATTAGGCAGGGACCGGCCAGATAGGTGGCCTGTTCTTTACAGGGCCCTCTATGGGCTTTGGGTCTTCCCTGTGTCCAGCCTCATGTTAAGAGCAGAATTCCCAAGGCTCTAGGCCTCTCTCTACACAGAACCAAGCACCAGCCCAGGAGAAAAGAGAAGCTTGCTTCCCCCAGGCCTGGGAGTTGTGGGCTGGGGATCTCTTCTACATGCAACCCCTCCACCCTACGGCTCACCCTCCTCCCCATGATGAAATTCCACGGTGGCTGCTTCCTTCCTGCTTTTGAGGAAAAAACACTTTGTCTTGAGCTTCCGCCCCTCAGAGAGACGGGGGATCTCTGTTTCCTCTGATTGCACTGTCCTGGGGCCTTGGGGACTTGCCCCAACCCTCCAACAGAACAGGAAGTGGTCCCAAACCCGAAGGGCCCCCACACAGAGGTCCTGTCCCAACCCCGCCCTAGAACAGAGCCAGAGCTGGAAGCCAGGAAGCTGTGCTGTGGACCTGGAATTTCCTGATGTGGTGAGAGAATCCTCATCCTCTCCACTCCCGGGGCCTGGGGGTAGCGTTCCAATCCTGGACTGAAGCCCTGTGGGTGACAGGACTGTCTAACTCCCCTGATACCTCAGCCTGAACTGATCTACAGGGATAAGACCTCAGAGCCCAGGCTAGTGAGGGAGGAAGCCTGGCGGTTAAAGCCTGGCCTCTGGGCTGAGTGAGCTGCTCTCTGGGGGCAAGGGCTGGAGTGGGGAGCCTAAACAGGAGGGACCTAGGCCTTACCCGCAAGGCCCAGTGCCAGTCTCCAGCTGCCTGCTTCACGCTGGAACCTGTGATGTAGCCCAGGCCGCTGCAGAGAAGACAGACACACGTCAGAGTGAGCAGCTGAGCTGAGTGGGACGTTCTTGGTGGCCTCCCACCCAGCCAGCCTGTGGGAGAGCAGGTCCAGGAGTCCTCTACCGCTGCCTGCCTCCGTGTCCGCTTAAAGCAGGGTTGGGGAGTTCAAGGGGACCCTGGCGCTCTTCCCGCAAACCGAGGTGCTTCACACTTACCTGCCCAGTGGGATGGCGAAATAAAAGACCGACAGCATAAGCGTGCGTGTGTTCTTGGTAAACAAGTCGCCGATGATGGTGGGTGCTATGGTGGAGTAGCTGGCTTCACCGATACCTACTAGCCCTCGGGACAGGACCAGCAGCCAGAAGTACTGCGGAGGACAGAGAATGCTGGGCGACCCGCCATTCCCAGGCTTGCTCATCCCTATCCCACTACGCCCTAGCCCTGGCAGGGTCCAGAGGCCAGGGGAAGAGGATGGAGCCCAGGACTAGCCTCAGCAGTGACCACAGCCACAGGCCACACAGGGCCCTGAGATACCCCTCAAAAGGAAGGATCTGACTGGGACTGATCATTCCCAGGTTGGGGGAAGACAGGGCTCCGTGTCCCCACAAGCACCGGGGACTATAAACTTGGGCTATCTCAGCATCTCTGGCCTCACTTCAGGATCCAACAGTCAACTTTGCTCTGTGCCCTCCCCTAAGCAGGAAGGCCAGACCAAACCTGGCTGCACTGAAGACCTAGTGTGTATGGGGAGTGGGCACAGTTGCCTAGTGAGCTCTGAGCCCCTCTCTGGTACACACATCAAAGGCCAGCGATGGGGGAAGGGGTGTGGCCATGCCAGCTGCCAGTGGTCCGACCCCTTTGATGATGACCTGCCTTCCTCTGGCCCTCAGCTGCCCAGAGCCAGAGAACCCAGCATGGCCATGGTTTCACTGCCCCACCCTTACCACCCATCCGGCCAGCCTTGCCCACATCCCCTGCCATCCCTGTTGTCTCTCCCCAGCCATCTCCTGCCACCTCTCTGGCCCCTGGCTGTCTGTGCTAGGGGCTGCTGACCCTGTCTCACTCTCTCTGGTTCCTGGCATTTCTTTCACTGCAGACCAACTGCCCACTGCCTTTCCCTGTTTTCCTATTGGGTGGTCTTGTCTTTTTGGTATAGATTTATATTAGCATTTTCTACATCACAGGGCTGGATTCCTTGTCATTTTTGTCACTACTGTTCTCGGCCTTCTTTCTCTCCTCCTTGTTTACCCAATTTCACCATTCATGGGCTTCCTGATGTCTAATTTGAGGCTGTCAAATCTTGACTCTTCCTCCACGCCTGGTTCAAGAAAGCCTACTCCAGCCCCAAAGTATAAAAGCATCCTCTTCTATTTCATGTTTGAAACCATTTGGAGAGAGACATCAAACTTCTTCAGCGCTCTACTATGCTAAGGCGTCCCCGTCCCCACCCACCCACCCACGCACCTGCCAGATTAATGCTGTCTCTGCCTTATGCTGCACACGTAAGTACCAAGAAACAACACTTAGTGTCCTCTCTGCTTGCAACAAATGGGCAGAAAGGAGGCTGCTCCACTTGTTTTATTCCACCACATGCTCCGTTATTTTTTGATATATGCATGATGATTGACATTGACCAAGTTTATTCTTCTACTAGCCACTCAGTATAAATATACCCTGAGTATCTGTGCAGGCCCAGTGGTGGTCATTTGAGTAGTTTCCTCCCTCCCTTCCTTCCTTCCTTCCTTCCTTCCTTCCTTCCTTCCTTCCTTCCTTCCTTCCTTCCTTCCT